TTTTTGCAGTACACGGGCCTCTCACTGTTGTGGCCTCTCCCGTTGCGGAGCACAGGCTCCGGACGCGCAGGCTCAGCGGCCATGGCTCATGGGCCCAGCCGCTCCGCAGCATGTGGAATCTACCCGGACCGGGGCACGAACCCGTGTCCCCCGCACCGGCAGGCGGACTCTCAACCGCTGCGCCAACAGGGAAGCCCATAACTATGGTTTTGATTAAAATAAGTTTTTAGGAAAGGAAACTCTCATTGGAAAGTTCCAGTAAAACAGCTCTTTATAGCCTGGGCTCCAAGGAGGTGTGGGCTTGTCTGGCGCTCTGCCTGAAGTCCTGCCTTGGTATTCACGTTCCACCACCCTGATCCCTCCTAATGTCACACACACACACAAAACAGCCTGTAGGGCACTTTCAGCTTTCTGCATTATAAACCAGTCATGAAGCCATCAAGCTTGTCTGGCACTGCTCCAAGCCTACAAGTGAGTTGGTCAATGTGCCTCAAACTCAGGTCCTCTTAAATAATTCCACACCAATACTTACTTTCTGTGGAAGGCATGCTTACATGGACAAATCCCCAACTCATCTCGAGGCTTGAAGTCTTCTAGGCACACTGCACAGAGCTGAAAGACAGATTCACAGATGAGGCAAAGTATCTGCTAAGGACTCTCCCAGGCCAATGTAAAGTGCAGGCCCCCAAGGCCCAGCCATTTGAAGGGACTTCCAATGTCCCACAACTCTTTAAGTGAAAGAAACAGGCTCGAATCGGCAAGGTCTTCTGAAGAAGAATCTCCTGCTTTTCCTGTCACGTGTCTTCAAGATGGAGGGCAGATGGGAGAAGACAGAAAGCAAGAGGCAGGTTTCTTTACTTCAGTCCATCAGAAGAGTCTGACTTAGGTTTATTCTCACCAGATAGACTGAGCATAATGTAATTTTCTGTGCTGTGCCAAGAGGCTGACTTTCTGCAGGGAATGCTCTGCCTGCTCAGCAGCAGGGCCCCTGAAGGGACTGCTCGCACCCTGGGGCAGGCCCTGGGGCTCTCCTTTCTCCAGTTTTCATAACTTGGAAACTATAAACCATGGCACAGCCTGCAGTAGTATGCTTCTTGTAGTTCCTGGGGCCCCTTACTTTGGCACTGTCCTTCTGTCAGTGTCTGTCTTTGTCTTATAAAAAGTTATTCAAGAGTCACTGAATTTAACCTTATGAAAATGTGCAGATGGGGCAGGATTGCTCTGACAGGTGGCTAGGCTCCACTGCTTGGAAGGAAGCCTTCTTCAAAGCCAGATGCTGGGTTCCAACCACTACTTCTTGGGCACTTACCAGTGCCCAGGGACACCAGGTATCATCCCATTTACTCACTTTACAAATGGGGAAACAGAAACTCAGAGCAGTAACCATGTTGTCTGAGGTGAGTGGCCAGGTCTGGCTGGGGACCCAGGTCTGTTACACTTTCGTCTGCCCAAAGCTTGAACTCCTCCCTGCTTGCTTCCCTGTTCATCTCCAGGGATCCTGGTTCAACCATCACCATTTCTTGTCCAGACTGCTGACCTGTCTCCCTGTCACCTGTTTCTTAACCTATAACAAGTAACCCAGTATTCTTAGGTTATGTGACAGGACACATGGCTCTTGGTGTCCTGTGGCCAGTGCTGTGGCTGTTGGTCTTCCAACACCCTTCTCCAGGGAGCTCTCAGGGCATTATGTATATAGCAGACAAGATCTTCACAGGAGGAGGAGCATGGATAACTTGTCTTATCAGATTTGGCATTACTGCTGAGACAGCAGGAGAGCAGGGAGGAAGGCAGGACAGATGGCTGGCCTTGGCTCGGACACCCAAGCTGTGTGACTTCTGCCATCATGATGCCTCTCAAGCTCTGTTGCTTCATCTGTAGAGTGAAGATATTACATACCCCCAACCCCCTGCCTGGGACTGTCATCAGCTCAGGTTGGGGGCAGGCCTGAGGAGGCAGTAAGGCAGTCTACCAATACCAGTTGTTTTTATTCACGTTTAAATTTAGTGATGGGAGTACTATTTTCAAGCCCAGTTTTGTTTTCTGGAGGAAGGTTAAGCACAAGCTGTGGGTAAAGATGAGAAACTAGCGGTTCCAACTTTGGGATGATCTTTTTTGGGCTTCTGCTTCCCATCTGTAAAGGGGGAATGATGTTCCCACCTCCTACATTGTGTGAAAAGGTCCTCTGGCCTTAACCCAGCTTCCCTCCCAGCATAGCCTTCTGAAAGAGGGTGAGGACTGCTGGCTCTGCCCTGTAGATATTCAGTGCTGACCCTACCAAAGGGCAAGACGTTGCTGTGGTTATTTTTCCAGAATCCAAAATTAGATTTGTAGCCTTTTCAAATGGAGTTACTATTAATGGCTATTACGTTCTTCTTAAAAAATTCTAAAACCATAGTCACCTGAAAAAAAAAACAAAATAAATTCTGATGTGTTAAGCACTAAAGTTGACCAAAAGCCAAGGTCAATCATGAAGAGAAAAGCCTTAGATCTGACTTCTTAGAAGTTCCCTCAAGGGTCAAACTAATTTTACAAATTTACAGATCATATTTTGCAAATAAGCTTTACTTTCCAGTGTTTCAACAAGATTGTTTCTCTCATTCCTTTTTAAAAATGGAGATATATAATTCACACATCATAATATTCACCCCTGTAAAGTGTACAATTCAGCAGTTTTTCATATATTCACAGAGTTGTGTAACCATCGTACTATCTAATTCCAGAACATTTTTATCATCTGCTTCCAAAAGCCCATGTCCATAAGCAGTCACCCCCCATTCCACCTTCTCCCCTGGCAACCACTAATCAACTTCCTTTCTTGATGGATTTGTTTATTCTGGTCATTTCAAAATGGAATGGAATCATGTAATGGTATCATACAACATGTGGTCTTCTGTGCCTGTCTCCTTTCACTTAGAAAGATACCTTCAAAGTTCATTCATGCTGTAGCATGAATCAATACTTCATTTTTGTGGCAAAATAGTATTCCGTTATATGAATATACCACATTTATCCATTCATCTGTTGATGGCCACTTGGGTTGTTTATACCTTTTGGCTGTTGTGAATAATCTTGCTCTAAACATTGGTGCACAAGTATCTGTTAAGAGTTTTCATTTCTCTTGGGTATATATCTAGGAGTAGAATTGCTGGGTCATATGGTAGCTCTATGTTTAACTTTTTGAGGAACTACTAAACTGTTTTCCAAAGTGGCCAAACCATTTCACATTCTCACCAGCAGTGTATGAGGGCTCCAATTTCTCCATATCTTCAGGTTATTATTATTGTCTATCTCTTTGATTATATCCATCCTAGATGGTATGAAGTGACATCTCATTGGGGGTTTGATTTGCATTTCCCTAATGACTAACAATGTGCTTACTGGCCATTTGTATACCTTCTTTGGAGAAACGTCTTTTCAAATTCTTTGCCCGTTTTTTAGTTGGGTAATTTTTCTTTTTGTTACTGAGTTGTGAGACTTCTTTATATATACTAGACACAAATCCCTTATCAGATAGCCAACTGATTTTGACAAAGGTGCAAAAGCATTTCAATGGCAGAAGGACAGCCTTTGCAACAAATGGTGTTGGAGCAATGGGACATCCATAGACACCAAGCAACCAAAAAAAATTGATAAACTGGAGTTCATCAAATTTAAAAACTTTTGCTCTGCAAAAGATCCTGTTAGGATAAAAAGACTGGGACAAAGTATTTGCAGATCTTTTTATTTTGTAGGCTTTTTATTATTGAGTTGTAAGAGTTCTTTATGTATTCTGGATACCAAACTCTTACCAGATATAAGATTTGCAAATATTTTCTCCCTGTGGTTTGTCTCTTTACTTTCTTTTTTTTCAATGTCTTTTTTTTTTTTCTTTCTTTTTGCTGTATGCGGGCCTCTCACTGTTGTGGCCTCTCCCATTGCGGAGCACAGGCTCCGGACGCGCAAGCTCAGTGGCCATGGCTCACGGGCCCAGCCGCTCCGCGGCATGTGGGATCTTCCTGGACCGGGGCACGAACCCACGTCCCCTGCATCGGCAGGTGGACTCTCAACCACTGCGCCACCAGGGAAGCCCTTTGATTCATTTTTGAGTTCCTTTGTGTATGGTGTGAAGCAGGGCTCCAATTTCATTCTTTAAGTGGTTATCTAGTTATCCCAGAACCATTTGTTGAATAGATTACTCTTTTCCTATTGGATGTCTTGGCACCCTTGTTGAAAATCAATTGACCATAAGTGTATGAGTTTATTTCTGAACTCTCATTTCTATTCCATTGATCTGTATGTCTGTCCATCTGCCAGTATCACACTGTCTTAAATACTGTAGCTTGGCAGTAAGTTCTGATATTGGGAGGTGTGAATCCTCCAATCCTCTCCTGTTTTTAAGACTGTGTTTGGCCATTCAGGGCCTCCTGCATTTCCATGTGAATTTTAAATTCTGCTTGTTAATTTCTACAAAAAAAAGAAAGGGCAGCTGTGATTTTGACAGGAGTTGTGTTGATTTTGTAAATATTTTGGGGGAATACTGCTATATTAACAATAGTAAGTCTTCCAAACCATGAACAAAGGATGTCTTTCCATTCATTTAGGTCTTCTATAATATCTTTCAATGATGTTTTATAATTTTTCAGTGTACAAGTCTGAGCTTCTTTTGTTAAATTTATGCCTAGGAATATTGTTCTTTTTGATGCTATTGTAATTGGAATTGCTTTCTTAATTTCATTTTCAGATTGTTCATTGCCACTGCATAGAAATACAGCTGATTTTATTTATTTATTTAATTTACTTTATTTTATTTTTGGCTGCATTGGGTCTCAGTTGCGGCACATGGGATGTTCGTTGAGGTATGTGGGATCTTTCTTTGCAGCGCATGGGCTTCTCTCTAGCTGTGGCCTGTGGGTTTTCTCTTCTCTAGTTGTGACATGCAGGCTCCAGGGCTCGTGGGCTCTGTAGTTTGCCGCGTGCAGGCTCTCTAGTTGAGGCGTGTGAGCTCAGTTGTTGTGGTGCATGGGCTTAGTTACCCCGTGGCATGTGGGATCTTAGTTCCCTGACCAGGGATTGAACCTGCGTCCCCTGCATTGGAAGGCAGATTCTTTACCACTGGACCAGCAGGCAAGTCCCTACAGCTGATTTTTGTATATTGATCTTTATCCTGGAAATTTATTGAACTCATTTATCTTGTGATTTTTGGTGGATTCTTTAGGGGTTTCTGTGTTTACAAAATCATATCTGCAAATATAGCTTTACTTCTTTCTTTCAAATCTGGATGCCTTTGATTACTTTTTCTTGCCTAACTGCTCTGCCTAGACTCCTCCAGTACAATGTTGAATAAAAGTGATAAGAGTAGGCATCCTTGTCTTGTTTCCCCTTAAGAGGAAAAGCTTTCAGTCTTTCATTAAGTATGATGTTAGTTGTCTTTTTGTTTGTTTTTTAAAATTTTTATTTATTTATTGGTTGCTTTGGGTCTTCGTTGCTGCGCGTGGGCTTTCTCTAGTTGCAGTGAGCGGGGGCTACTCTTCATTGCGGTGTGCGAGCTTCTCACTGTTGTGGCTTTTCTTGTTGCGGAGCACAGGCTCTAGGCATGCAGACCTCAGTAGTTGTGGCATGTGGGCTCAGTAGTC